TGGACACCTTGCCTTTTGCACCTGTACTTTTCCAACACTTCAGTGCGAAGCACAACAGGGCTATCCCTTTCACACCAGGCTCAGCCCCTTAATCCCATAGACTTCAGCCCTGCATCTGGTACAGAGACCAGAAAGTTGTCTTTAAACAACAGGTGATCCTAGCGTAACAGTATACATTCAGAATTCCCCAGTTTTGAAATTCGGAAAGTCTTCATTTATTTCCTTTACAGTGTACCAAATATTCTATTGCTCATTTGATAAAGCATTATTTCATAGTAAAATAACTTCAGGATCTCATCTATTCTGATTAAAGGCTTAAAGGAAATAACAAAGTTTGAAAGGAAATTATAAATGTAGTATGCACTCTGTAAGCATAAGAACTCTGCAATGCAGCCTAGGCCACTGTATTTTAAAGGTAAAGGGAAAGGGAAAGGGTCACAAGCGCCACCCAGTCCCCACTGTAGTTTAGAGAGCCCCTATTTTCATATAATCCCTGATATACGTCATGTTGGGCTGCTAATCCTTAACCCAGGTGGTGCCAGGGTATGGCGAAAAATATTCCTTGGTTCAGCCCCAGCAACAAAAAAGGAACATATGGGTCATTTGCACCAAAACTGGACCAAATGATTTATTGGCGGTGGAATGGGTTTTGAGGGCAAAAAGTGTGTAAGCAAAGGCTTGCCTCATTTTGGGGGTCAGGGAAAACTTTAGTATTTGTAGTGACTTTTGGTGGGGGCAGCGTTGCTTATTAATAAGATGAAACAGGAGAATTTCAACATCCCTCTCACTTTTAAAAATGGAGAACGCTTTAGTGCTGCTTCAAGGGAAAGCAAAGTTGTGGTGAACAGCCAATCACTTTATTCAGTGTCTCAATGAGAAGAATGCTTCTTTTCTACCTTATGCCAGTGGATCCTTTGTCAGCAGAGCAACTACACTAAGCTAGGCATGCAGTAACATTCATATCATCACAGAGATATGACTCATATTCTGCAGGCATAGCGAGGGTTCCACCATATCCAGTAGCCATCCATTGGCATATATTTTGAGAAGTTTTATAAAAGGCCTTCATGAAATGCCAGTTGTGAGCTAAGTTGACCCTTAACAATGAATGGCATGCCATGATGCTCATCCAAAGAAATCTAATGCCATATTTAAGGAGGGCTTTAAGCATGGGAAATGGAAAGTGGAAATGTGTGGGGATACAAAGAAAAAACTAGGAAAAAATGATTGGAAGTGGGAAAGGAAAGTGAATAGTAGAATTCTGCACTAAGTATATATATATGCATGGATTGAGCAGAAACTACAGTGATGGAATCATATATTGATCAGAAAGGAAAGTTTGCTTGGAGGAGGATATAGGCCATGTTGCGCCCATGTATAATATCAACTAAAGCAACAACAACTGCGGCAAACATCTAGAAGGGTCTTAGTGATTTTTTTAATACTTATATGTTACAGTGTATAATTATTCTCTACATTCTGTATAGAGTTGCAGTTTTGCATTAGTCAAATGGATGGAAGTTGTAAACAAAATTGTGTACATGCAACATATCTTTTAATGTCATTGCCTAGTATCAGCAACTTTTCCTCCCATAATTCCCCGTGCTGAACTGTAGATGGTTGTCTTTCTACTGATTGCATCCTGGTATGTGTTACTACTCTGCCTTTGTCCTTTCCTACAGGCTTACCCTGAGTTTGTCCTGACCTACCTAGAGGAGCTAAATGTAAGAGAGGAGGTGACCCAGACGGAATACTGCACACACCATGGGGCCCAGTCTCCAGTTCATCGAGAGTCAGATAGCAATGCAGCAGAAGAGGTCACTGTATCAAGCCAGAGGCAGGTCAGAGCAGTATTTTTTTTTAAGGAAAAACATTTTGAAAGGAAATGCTGTTGCCCTTCACAGTTTAATATCAATATTCAAGTCAAACCATTTCTGTATGTGTGTATGTAAAGAGAGAGAGAGTTTAACTTGAATATTAATTACATACACATGTTCGAGAAATAGAAGCACAACATACAATCACACACAAACACATTTCCCCCCCAATAGCTCCTTTCCCCATGGGATAACATTACTTGTTAAAATGTACCTGCCAAAATATGCTCATCCAAAGTAAATATTTGTATGGAGCACAATATATATTCATTGTATGTTTGTTCATAATTTAATAGGTCCTGCAAAATGATGTCTGCAATGAGAAGCAACTTTCAGGACCTTTGGACGCCCACTTAAGGCCTGAAGGTCCCTCAGGGGGGAATAGGCAGCTGACAGTGGCACTGGTGAGGAAACTAGAAGAGAAACATCCTAAGGCCTCAGCTCAAAGGTAAGCCACTGACAGAACTGATATTTATTGTTCAATGACATTAGATGTTTTCCTTCAGTTTCATGTAAGATTGATTTCCTGGATATTATTGAAATATCTCAGAAGCCCTCTGGCTTGCAAGCAGACATGGAGTTTTGACCAAAACTAATGGAAAGGGGTGACATTTATGCAGGTTTTTTTTAAAAAAAGAAAAAGATTGATGTGTACACTATGGAAGAGGATCACTGAGGTAATTACCGTATTGTTAACTTATTATGCATAGAAGAGTAAAGTGTATGATTTGGTTACATGCTTTGTTCTACTGAAGTTAATTTTATATGAGTACATTTATATTTATGCATTTGATATATTTTTACCTATAATATGATACAAAGGTAAAACAACAATATTAAAATTCAAAACTAATATGCAATATTACATATACCCCTCCACTTTTTCTGCATTGGGTGTTATATGGCAATAAACTCACTGGATGTACTTAGGCTCTAGTACTCACAAAGCAGTTTGCATGAATATGAGATGTTTTGCATAATATTGAAATATATTTTATATATTAATTCCCTCTTAGTGGAGAGTGGATGTGGGCTTTGAAACTTTTTTCTATGTTCAAACAGAGATTGGTCATAAAGGCATCTATCAAATTTCAGTCTTGATTTTGGCAATTTCCCCATCTTTCCCGGCTGCTTAGGATTTGAACATGAAATGTGGAATGGTATTCTGAGTGGGCATTTGATTATGTTGCAACGTTCTGGTCAGATGATGCAGCATGGTGCAACTTTCTGCATTGAGTTGATGAAACAATCCCAGGGATTTTTAATATTGATGGCATAATAGGCACAGAGTACCTCTTTTATGAGCCAGGGACGCGGGTGGCGCTGTGGGTAAAACCTCAGCGCCTAGGACTTGCCGATCGTCAGGTCAGCGGTTCGAGTCCCCGCGGCGGGGTGCACTCCTGTCGTTCGGTCCCAGCGCCTGCCAACCTAGCAGTTCGAAAGCACCTCCGGGTGCAAGTAGATAAATAGGGACCTCTTACCAGCGGGAAGGTAAACGGCGTTCCGTGTGCTGCGCTGGCTCGCCAGATGCAGCTTGTCACGCTGGCCACGTGACCCGGAAGTGTCTGCGGACAGCGCTGGCTCCCGGCCTATAGAGTGAGATGAGCGCACAACCCTAGAGTCTGGCAAGACTGGCCCGTACGGGCAGGGGTACCTTTACCTTTACCTTTACCTCTTTTATGACTACCATTCACCTTCTGTGGTGACATTTCAGAATTGACAGATTGCAAAAAAAAGTGTATGGTTAAAAGATCAAATTCCTGAATGAGGGCCTGGGAGTGACAAGATTCTTTGAAAACATCAGGAAGGGCGGGGGCTCATAACCAAATTATGTTCTGTCCATAAGAGCATAGAGGATGAAAGAGCAATGTTTTCTATAGTTTCATAATATAAAAATCACTGACTTTCATTATATCCTCACAAATAGTACCCACAGGTTTCTAAAAATCTTTCAAACCTAAATCTTTAAACATTTCCCCCATTTACAACATTCCTTATGATCCAGAGAAACAAATTATACAGTATTCTGCACAAAATTTACTAATACTTATTGTGGGTTGGGTGTCACTGAGAACCCAACTGCATTTGCAGATATTTGCAAGCAACCAGCACTCTCACACCAGCAGGTGGCCAGACTTAATGATAACTCTCAGTTAAAGGCCTTTAGTTGACCACTATTCTCTGTTCACATAAAGATCTTCACAAAATGTGCTGTTTAGGGTTGCCCTCAACACTTCCAGGGCAATATGTCACTGGCTTCCTTCACAAGAATCAATGAAATCCGTAGATTTGATTATCAGCTTCAACACTAAACTACCTGTGTGAGAGACAAGCTTGTCCCTTTGTGTGACCTGTGGGATATGTTTACTAACACTCTCCTGCAATGTTTCATGCCGCGTGAATCCTACAATTGATGAACAATTAATGCCATTCACGGGAAGGTGTCCAATGAGGCAGCAACATGCCGTCCAAACCTGTGAAGTAAGGCATACAGTTCTGGCTGTGTTGAGATTCCAAAACATCTTATGCATATGATAGACACATGTGAGGAAAGAAGAAGGGGCTCTAAGCAGCTCAAAACCTAGGTGAGACAGTGGTTGAGAAACTAACACCAGGCTTACAGGGTTCTGGGAGAAATATAACAACCAATAGCATCTTCTCAAATGTCCCTGGTCAGAGAATTAGCTGATTCTGGTTGGCACTTTTCCCCCCCAGGTCCACAAATTCCTTGAGAGTTCCTTGCCTGAAAATCTAGAAGTCACTAGAGCTGGATTATTGGTTCTCAAGAACATTTGACCCTTGTTAGTTGTACTAAGGAAAGGAAGAAAGTCATTCCCCTTTCTTCAATGCATAATGATATATCAATCTCGTAGAAGGAATCCAAGCATGAGACAATTCATTATTTAGCTAATGGTAGAGTGGACATTTGTGATAGTCTTCGTATACACTTCCAAATGCATGATCCAATAGTGGCCACTGTTGTTATTTTCAAACATGGTGGACTTTGCCTAAATGCCTATATTATATGGAAGATAAACTTCCCACAATGGTATAAGCATCCCAAAAGATATGTGTTCTGCTTCCTAGTAGACTTAAGTCTTGAGCTGAACAAACTCTGTATTGACCTGAGAGAGCTCAATCACTAGAGCCTGAGACTCTTAATATCCGGGCTGTGGGTTCGAACCCCACATTGGGCAAAAGATTCCTGCATTACAGGAACTAGCTGACCAGCATGGTCCCTTCCAACTCTAAAATTCTATGATTTTCCGAGTCTATGAAAAAGCCACCTTCCTTGTTGTATCAAGAGCGTTAACCTCAGAAATGATTTTTTGAAACTGAAGGGCCAGTTTGTGCAGATCTTTGTGTTGCTCTGCTCAGCAAGGAGCAGGACGTAGGTAAAACATGAATTAGTTGTTTTTGCCTGTCATTGGCTCTTGTTCCACCTACTGTTGGTCTCGCTGCATTCTGCCCTGTCAGTCCCAATGGGCACCACTGATTAAGGGGGACAGGGGAAATCTACAAATAAGATTGAAGAGGCTGAGAAGAAGCAGGTCGTTTATACTGGGAACCACTCCTGATTTCTCAGTTCACGTTACACTTGCACAATATTGAATGATTCGCCAAGATTTGTGGAGTGCATAGATGCACATGCAGAAGAATGGTGTGTGTAAATGAAAGATACTTCGTGTAATACAAATTGGTACTGTTATTATGAAGACTTTGCAATACAAAGTGGCACTCGATGTCTCACATTCGATTGATTTGTCTATTCCAAAACAAAATAATTAGTATGGCAGATGATTTTTTCCCTCCTGATAGGCACTTCTGCCATTCAGGTCAGTTCTTCCCAAAATCCAATGGGCAGAAGGTGGGGGATGTTGGTCATATGGAATAATGCATTGAAAGTGAACTGTTGGCAGTAAATGGATACTTTTATGGTGGGTGGCTTTATAGAATGACTCCAAGGTAGTTCAAAGATCTTGCATGAGGCAAGTGAGACATCCTTGTCAGTGTAAACCTATGGCTTGTATCCAGGGTGGTGCAAGTAGAATAATCGGGCTTTCTCACTCCATCCTTCCCACTGCTGTCGCTGTGCACCGGAAAATACACTCTTGAGAGCCACACACCAGCCCGGAATGTCATGGGATATTTCATAGGAGTTCGTAGGAAGAGGGGAGGATCAATATAAATTGAGTAGAGGCATCTTAAGGGAGCAAAGCTGCCATATACATGGCCCCCCGCCCAATGCCACACTCCACACTATTCCAAAAATTCCTCCAACTCTCAGGAGCAGCTTTCCAAGGTGCAATGGGATACAATAAGGAGGGGTGGAAGCCCCATTGCACGAATCAAACTTCACTCACATAACTCTGCACCCAAGCCTTCATCTACTACTGCACCTACACATATTTATATCTGCCAAGTGTACATTTATCCTGCTTGTACCTGCATGCAGAAATCCACATTAAAAGCACAGCAAAATGCATTGCCCTATATAATTTTAGGTATATGAATAGTCCCAATGACTTTTATGGGACCACTTGCTTCCTTACAATTTGGCCCTTCCGCCTAAATCAGTAGTTCCATATCAGGTATTTATTGGGGAGAAATCCAGAAGATTTAATTTAAAATGTTATACTTTATCTTTCATTGCCATCAATTAACAGGGTTTTGTCTTGATCTATATAACATTGGCCATCTACCCTTTTCCAATAAAAAGAAAATTCCTATAAATCACAGGTGAAATATTTAGTTTATATAGATATAACTAAAAGCACTTTTATTTCCCATCCTTTTTTTTGCAGTGAAGAATTTAAGAATTTGTTTTTTCTCATATACCGTATATTTTGTACCATAACACTCACTTTTTCCCTCCTAGAAAGTAAGGGGAAATGTCTGTGCGTGTTATGGAGCGAATGCCTACGGGTGGTGGTGGGGATCTGCTGCAGTCGTGAGCAGATGATCCATGGTTCCCCTTCCTTCCCTCCTCCGTGGCTTGCTTTGAAACAGCAAACCAGGAGAAGAGCCGCTGAGTGGGGAGGAGAGAGGGACAGAGAGCCTGCTTGCTTTAAAGGAGCAAAGCAGGAGAGGAGAGGAGCCTTCTCCCCTTATACCCCTCTTCTTCATTATTAGCAGCATCCTTCTCCACACACCCCACGCGTGCTCCTTGTCCCTTGAGTGCTTTTCCTTCCCTCCCCACTTAAAACATGGTTACAAAGCATGGATCCACATGGATCCTCAGGATTTTTGCACTGGGTCACCCCAAATTCACCGTCAGATCACATAGCATGTCCATGGCTACATCTTGCACCAAAAAAATCACGCACCCACTGTTGCCTGGGGTCGCAGTGGTGCAAAAACGTGGTTACTAAGCACGGATCCACATGGATCCTCAGGATTTTTGCATTGGGCTACTCCAAACTCACTGTCAGATCACATGTCTGTGGCCACAGCATGAACCACAAAAATCATACATCCACTGTTTCGTTTAGAATATTTTTTTTCTTGTTTTCCTCCTCTAAAAACTATGTGCGTGTTATGGTCGGGTGCGTGTTATTGAGCGAAAAACACGGTATATATATAATATAATATATATATTATATTATATATATATATATTAATATATTTATATATATATATTATTTCTTAAAACATAACACCTGGGGTTTTCTGTTTTCCTGAATCAATTTTTCAGTGTACTTAACCCCCACATTGTACTTTGTGGGAAAATTATGATGGAGTGAATCTTTTCACTGAAAACTCAAGCTTTTCCTCATGATTTATCTGCCATATAAATGTTCTAAAGGTTAAAGCTTTGAATTGGGGACAAATTAGCTTTCATTACATGCTTTAGTTGAATCTTGACAAAATTACTCAGCTCTCTGTTTGAGCTAGATAATTTAAATTCATTTTTTTCTGTTCTTTTTAGATACAGCAATACAAACCTAACTCAACGTGGTACAGAAGTAATATAGATGCTGTGTTTCATGTTTTTCACCTGACGGTGTGAGGTTGTGGTTGTTTGCATTCTTATATTAAATGGAGCAACTTACCTTTATTTAAATTGAATAGAAGTTGTTGGGGGGGGGGAGAACTGTAGCAGCCAACAAAGCATGGTGACCCAGCTTGTCACCCAGTGACCTGTGAGAAGGAAATAATGAACTGTGAGTAGCTGTCATCTTAACTGCTTCTGACAGTTTGGCTATGGGCACATCTGTGTTAGTTGCATGGAAAGGCCTTTGTTGTTTTCCCACTAGTGACTTTGCAGACCGCTGTGGGGTTTGCTCGCTGCCCTGCTCCTCTACTTCCCTCCCGTTTTAGCAAGGAAAACAGCTGCCAATGATGGTCTTGACATTTCTTTTAATGATTTACTTGGCATTTATTTAATTATAAAGTACAAATCATATCGATGTATTAAGCCTTTTTGGATATTTTGAGGGAAGTTAGGATCCTGCCACAGTTACAGGTTTGCAATCCGTTTGGTCATACTTCCACACTCTGCATTAACTCTAAAAAGGGTTTGTCTCATAACTTGTCTACATAATAATTTTGGCTTTAGACCGTCTCAATTTTAAATGATTAATTTTTACATCAACATTTTAATAATTTAAAAACTACTACAGTACTACTATTACTATTGCTACTACTACTGTCACAGTAGTCCCATGTAAACAATTGTAGTAATAATTATTACTGCATATATGCCTGTTTTCCTTTCATGGTTTAGACCAGGATTGCCTTTTTTATTCTTCTTTAAACTTAATGCTTATGAGCCAGAGATACGTGAGGGGAAATTAAATGTTCACAGTGGGCTTCTTGTTTTCCCTTCCCCGCACCATTTTCTTTGCCTCCATTCCTCTACCTCCATGTGTGAAAAATGCTTTTAAAACTCTCCTGACTTTGAAAAACAGATTCTCTCACAGCAAAGAAAAAGAAATGCCCCACTTTCCACACAGTGTTCCTCATGCACACATGTGCTCAGTGAAACACCAATTTTTACAGTTGGAAACAATCTTAATTGCTCTTCCTTGATGATAATTCATTCTCAAGTAAAACAAATGATTTTTCTTTCTGAACTGAGTAAAATAAATCTGGAGCTACTATGAAAGAAGTGATATGCAACTGATTATTTTTGTTCTGCAAATAAAGCTGGATATTTGGGGCAGTGCATTTCATGACAGTTTAAGAAGGTTATTGGAAAGGCTGACCCTAAATCTTATTTATAATTTAAATAAGTAGAAAAAGCAACCAATGTGAACAATAAATTATGATCTATTTTCAAAGATGGCAATTTTATGAAAGTTTTATAACCCCTCTTATATCAGTGACTGAGGGCCAAAGTAGCTGAGACACCATTTACAAAGTAATTGTGCGATAGGCTTTTTAAAACGAGTAACTTGAATCCCAATCTGGATTAGTCATGCTCATGGGTGTTATTTGTATTTAGGGAGGAAAGCTTCCACTGATGTCCTGAATGTAGTTGTTTTTCTGCAATGCAAATAGGTGGCATGACCCCCAAGTTCTGGATCAGGACCATGGTGGGAGAGGAGGTGCACTAGTGCAATGGGATCCCCCCTCCCCACCTCTATGTATGTACCCCTTGCCCTCCCCAAATCTGCTCAAGAGGGTTGGGGGGAAACGCAGGAACAGATTTAGGGGGGGTGCAGGGGGAGGAGATGGGGAGAGTGTTCTGTGGTGCAAGGAAAAATGCTTGCACTGGTAGAATGTTTGCCGTAGCACTATATTGAATGCAACCCATTTCCCCCCCAATCTCTTAACCATGGTTAAAAATTGGGAGTTTCTTGGGACTGTATGACTTTCCATCTCTCTCCCTCCTTTCCCTTGAGGTTGTGTGTTCCCTTTCCTCTCCCCCATTCAAATTCCCCACCCTTTCTTTTTTCATCCACCTATTCATTCATTCATTCATTCAGTCTTTATTGGCATAATCCTTTCCTTTTTCAGTACTAACTATATAGCATAACTGCAATGAGTTAAGTGCTAATCATAAATGTCTGATTCTGGTACAGACGTGAACTGTGGCTAGTGGTAACCATAATTTGCCTGACTCAGGTGGCGTAGCAAACTATGGTGACTGTATGTCAGGCAGTAGAAGGGGGAATTGTTGCTGAAGCAGAGGGGGAGAGGCGATATGAAGAAGGTGCACTGCATGTATCTGGCAACTGCACCATGGTTTGGC